AAAAAAACGCTAACTAAGGGTAAGGGCCGTTTCCTGAGAGTCGACTCTCATTCGAAAGTTATCTTTAAATTTGTGCACTAAAAATCGGTCGCTATTTAATTGCTGCATGTAAGTTAGTTCTCCACTGTGAAAACGGCCCTTATCGTGATAAAAACTTGTTTTTTTAACGGATGTTTTCACCTTTTCAATAACATTCTTGAGATAGCAAAGATGCATAACTTTTATTGGTGTAACATTTTTCAAATTGGCTGCAAATACTTACTTGGCATTGAACGTGAAAAGAGTTGGGTCGTAAAGAAATTTGTGTATGATTATTTACATATCTATTTTTGCATTAACTACATCTCTAATTGGCACCAAAAATGAACCATCAGTACACTTCAACGGCTATTGCATCAAGGTTTCTGTTCTATTTTTAACCTACTTCCAAAAAAAGAGGAGGCTATCAGTTCGTCGGAATATTTTTTTTTTATTTTATTTTTTTATTTTTTATGTATGTTACCGCATAACTTTGGACCACGTCAACCGATTTCGATAATTTTTTTTGCATCGGAAAGGTAGTGTCCAGAGGTGGTCCTATACTAATCTGGTTTTGATCCGATCATTGGATCATGAAATATATATATATATTTTTTTTTTATATGCGAATTGAAGTCGGTTTTGTTGTTTGCTTAAAAATTACCGTCGTTGGAGATTCTATATATATTTCTATCACACACGATATTTAATTTACCCCCTTTTTCTCTTTTCAGCTACTCCTACGAATTAATTAAAGAGATCGCTGATTTCTTTTTGGAGCGCACCACCATTCGTCCCAAGGTTGGCATAATTTGCGGTTCGGGTCTCAACTCGCTGGCCGACCACATCACAGACACGCAAGCCTTCGACTACAAGGACATCCCGCATTTTCCTGTCTCTACAGTTGAGGGTCATGTGGGTCGCATGATTTTTGGCTATCTAGAAGGCATGCCTGTGGTGGCCATGCAAGGTCGCTTCCACAACTACGAAGGTTATCCGCTAACCAAGTGTTCTATGCCTGTGCGCGTCATGAAGTTAGTCGGAATTGAATATCTTTTTGTAACAAATGCTGCGGGCGGTCTAAATCCCAAGTACAAGGTCGGCGATATCGTCATCGTGCGTGATCACATCAATATCATGGGCATTGCTGGCAATTCACCACTGCAAGGACCCAACGATCCACGTTTCGGTCCCCGTTTCCCGCCCATGAAAAATGCCTACGATCGTCATTTGGTAGGCAAGGCGCGAAAGGTTGTACGTGAGATGGGCATTGAAAATGATGTGCACGAGGGTGTCTTGATTTGCTTGGGTGGACCTAACTATGAAACGGTAGCAGAACTGAAAATGTTACGCATCATGGGCGTCGATGCAGTAGGCATGTCCACCGTGCACGAAGTGATAACCGCCAGGCATTGTGATCT